TTTAATGTGTTGTAAGCTGCCAAAGTCACATTCATGAGGTGAATGGTGAAAGAAAGAAAGAAAGAAAGAAAGAAAGAAAGAAAGAAAGAAAGAAAGAAAGAAAGGGAGGGAGGGAGGGAGGGAGGGAGGGGTGAGATTTTCTTTTGCAATAGCTTTTAGATGATGGGTTGTCAGAGAAAGGGGAGAAGGAACATGCTTTTTATGGCTCTTTCATAATATCTTACACAAAAGTGTCCTTCATAAGCACTATCCATAGCAACTTGCCTCAAATTTCTCATGTCTAAATCTCTCCCTCTCTCCTCCATGTATTTTACAGTAGTATAGTCTGTGCCAGCCAATCAAAGATGCAACAAGAATCAAGTGTATGTGCTGCCCGCTATAGAAAAGGTTAATAAAATCACAAGGGATTTTCTGACAAGTTTTTCTCTTTGGCTGAATTCTGCCCTGGGAAAAGAAAACTGACCTGAGGGTACTGAGTCATGTCCTTTTTGAAAAGGTCTCCTGTGGAGAAGCTGAATTAGTGCAAATGCTGTTGCTTCTTCTTCACAGCCATCAGTTACAGTTCAAAATCTGCACTTTATTCAGATAAATAGGTAGTGACATGTCTTTCATGAAAGAGTCACAATCAGGAAATGTTACTCCACTTCTATTTGAGCTGAGGGAATGCTAGTAACAACTGGATTTTTACTTAGGGATATGGAGTAAGTAGGCCAAAAAGGCCCACTGGTGCTCATAAAAACACATCAAATTATATTACATATAACACAACAGAAATAGTATTGAATAGTTAGGAGCCCAGCTTCCTAATACTACTGACTGGTGGTGATGCTGGTAATGGACTAATCCAAAGGGGTACATAGCCTTACATGCTGAGAACAATGCTTTTCTGGATTGCACTCCAGAAAAGAAGTAGGACCAGAACAAACATTAGATGCAGCAAGGAGAATTTAAAAAATATATATTTTTACTTAAATTAATTAAACAGCTACTATGAGTATTTTCTATGCATCTAAAATTGTTCCTCTATCAAAAATTGAAGCCAAAAATCACCTGAAACAGATGATAAATGAATCTACAGTTACTCAATGTTGCTAGGGTTGAATCTAAGTCTGTTTCTTCCCATACAAAGTTTAACAACCTCCAGACACTGAGACAGAACGTCAACAGTATCACTTGGTTGGCCTGGGTTAAGATATGCAATTATGTATGTTGTGCATACTAATGATATCTAACCCCATGCTGTCAGATGAACTTATTCAGTGGCCCCATGTAAATGTTGGAGCAAGAAAAGTGTTGACCATTGAAGAACCCCATAAAACAAGGGCCTCAGGATCAATTTCTCCCCTTTACTAATACCAACTGAAACTGACCACAGAGAAAGGAGGAGAACCACTCTCAGCTCTCAGACACAGTACAGAAAGATTCAGTGATAAATGGTATTGATAGCTTACCAACAGATCAAGAAGTATCAGGAGAATCACATCATCCTCCATCCTGGTTCTGCCAGAGGTCATCCACTAGCACAATCAGTGACATCCTCAGTACTATATTCAGGGTTGAAACCTGATTAAAGATAACCTACTTCCTCCAGGCACCACCATCAGCTCCACACCCTTATCCGAAAAGGGAAGGTTGGAGACTATTTGTAAATTATCTAACACTGTTGGGTGCAGTAGTGGCTTCTTGATGAGGAGGCACACCATCACTTTTTTCAAGACAGATGGATCCATGCTCTCATTAAAGAGTGAATTCACCACTGCTTGGACCCAACCAAATGTCACCTTCCCCCAAACAGCCAAGAGAGGCATGGATCTAATATGCAAGTATCCACACTGACTGCCTACACTATCTATTCCCTTGTGACTCACAGGCTCAAACTCTTTCCAGGTGACAGAGCAGGACCCCACCTCAGGCAATTCAATAGGACCTGCCTGGGTGGAGTCCAACTCAGATGATTTCCTTTAAGTTAGAGTAATATAAACTCATGTGGCTCTTCAAGGAGGATGAGGGTGGGAATCCTAGCCTTAAGGAGTCCCTGACAGTTAATCAAATTGGCTAGGAAAGATGTAGAAGAGTCATCACTGAAGCTTTTGCAGATATCTGGTTTTATTATTATTTTTTTTTTAAGAAATAAAAAAGAGTGAGACTAACAACTGATATCTAGATAAATAATTTCTTGCCGTAGGTAACAAGGCTCAGCTGGATAACTCCTGCATTTTCTTTCAACTCCAATAAACAAAAATGTTAAAACACATGGAGTGCTCCATTTTTTGATGCAATGCAATATCTTCAAATGGAATGAAGTATATTCTGAATCTCTCATCTAGCATAATTCCATTAAACTGGATTACTGTACATGTTGGTAGAGGAAGTTGGAAGTTTGTGTAGCAACAAACACATCTGTTCTAAAGCATTTCTTTGATGTATATATCTCACTGATGGCTACATTTTCCAAATGAATGTATGGTCTTGAATCAGTCTGAACAGATGATGAGAGTATGCGCAGTTCTAGTTATCATCTAGGCCTTAGAATTAAGATCAACGTGTAGGTACAGTGTGAAAATCAAACATCACTTCCGATTAAATCTATGTCTTCTATTTCTCTGAGTCTCTTAACCAGGACCCACAGGACTTCTCTTTTTTAATTCACATAGAAGTGCTAGCAGTAGCTAGGATAAAGAATTATTTACATTACTGCTACTGATAATAATAATCCTTTAAATAATTAATTCTTTAATCAACAATAAATGAATATTGTTGTTCACTTTCCATCTAAGGAGCTGGTGGAAAACCCAAGTTTATTTGTGGATGGTATAAGCCGGTTTGATATTATTCAAGGACGAAGAATAGGTAAGACATTGAATATTTAAGGAATAAGAGTGTGGGTTTGGAAATGTCCCTGCTTGCCTGGTTTTAGTCTTTCTTTGATAAAGCTTTTTAGTGGATCTTGTGCACATAAAATGTGTGTATGCATAAAATGTTCTCATAGTGGTCAAACAGATCCCTAGGGAAATAGGACATAAAGCAATAGCACCACAGAGGAATTTATGGTTTCCAGAAATTTGCATTAAGAGGTATATCTTTGATACTGGTAGATCTTTGAAACTGGAGGTAAGATGTAACCATTATGAATAGAAGGCATTGATAACCTTCTCTATGAATTTGTATAATCTGTGCTGAGAGCCATAAACTGTATATTATAACAGCACACTCAATAATTTTGCTTTACATTGTAGAAAGTGCTTCTCCCCACCACCCCTCCCCAACTTTCTTACTCTTCTGCTTCATGGCAGAACCCATATTCTACCATTTTGAGATAAGAGAGGAAACCCCCCCTCTAATCTCTGTCTACTTTCTCTACACCATTTATTATTTTACAATCCTCTTCTAGCTTACCTTACCTATGTTTTGATATACACCCTGTCTTCTGAACAGGACTGTATTGACTATTGCCTGACATGGTGTTACATATATGGAAGAGAACACAGTTTGGTCCAGGAAGCCATCTCACCAAAGTTAAGCTGTCTGAAGCCTACTGATTGCAGAGGAAGATTTAAGCATACACTTAATTTTATGCTCTGAATTTCATATATCAGCTTTATAATAAATATAAAAAAACAGAAAAAAGGTGCTAGAGTTTGATAAGGGAAAAGAAAAGCTGATGGAGTATTAACTGGTAGCAGAGAAAGTATAGTTCTGAATAGGAAACCAACGATGTGTAATGGATGTGTTTTGGAAAAAAAGAAAATTAAGATTTGATTAGGAGAGGTTTAAAGAGGAGAAAGATGGCTTGGCTGATACAGGGAGACAGTGCAAAGAAGCAAGGCAAATCACAAGTGAAGAAAAAATGAATAAGAAATGGGTGAAAGAAAAAGTGGTTAGAACAGGCTTATGGAGAGGTGATGGCAGTGGGTTGGGATAAGGGAATAAAGTTACTATAGTATATTAGTGAACCAGAGAGAGAGACAGAGGCAGAGACGGAGGCAGAGAGAATGACAGGGAGACAGAGAAAGAGACAGAGAGAGAGAAAACACATGGAAGCCGGTACTGAATCTGCAGAAACGGAAAGTGTGGTGGAAAAGGCACCCAAAGGACTTATCCCAAATAACTGGAGAGGATCCAAATTGTTTTACTGATTACGGCGAGTCACTGGACCCAGTGCCTTGAGGGGAGGGAGGTGACAAAGAGACCTGATGTAAGGTTACTGTGAGTATGTTTATACTACACATGACATATGCAGTAATGCCACCAGGCAATGACATAGGTCAGTGTTTCTGAACCTTGGCAACTTTAAGATATATGGACTTCAACTCCCAGAATGTTAGCCTTTAGAGGTAGTCCAGACAAGAAGCACCAATCATGAGTACTAACACTACCTTTATTACAAGGTTGCAGTAACATAATCTTGCAAGTATGAAAGTACATCTCCCCCCGACCTTTACAGAAACTAGGGAGGGTCTGTTCTGAGACATTTGCCATGCTCCCGTTGCTTCTGTGGGCTAAGCTGCCTCTTATTTGACTGTTACCTAGTCTGCTGATCCTCGTCCTCCTTCTGTCTCTCAAGGACATTCTCACAGACCATTACACAGAATTCTGGGAGTTGAAGTCCACATATCTTAAAGTTGCTAAGATTGAGAAATACTGACATAGGTTGTTATCGGTAAGGAAGGTGAGATGACAATTTTCTGAGAAGTCCCTAAAAATCCGGAGCATGAAGACCAAAGGGAGTTTTGCTATGCACTGTTTATAGTTCATTGGAGAGTATATGTGATAAGGATATACAGGCCGTTCAATTGTCCTTGAGGTGTCTGGTCTCCTAGGACATGAGTCTTTCTCTTCAATCAAGGAATGAGGCCCTGGAACCCTCAGTCATGCCTAGTTATACAATTAGGTCCTCCCATTAGAAAACTAAATTGGTATCTTAATATGAGATAATTATAATTATCTCATATCTCATATCTCATAATATGTAATGCATATGTAGTATATTATGCATCTAAACGTATTTGATAAAACTAAGTATACAGTATGTCTGTTTCAAACTAAAACGTTTCAAGTGGCAAATAGCACACTAAAGTGATGTCTTCCACAAAAATGAAGAGATCATACAGTCAGTGATAAACGACACTCTTCTTTCAGGAGACCAAGGATAGAGTAAATGAAAAGCAAACAACAGCAAGGGAAACAAGGAAATCATCTTCATGAAAGATGACCTGGATATGCAAAAGGCTTTTAGCAGCTGAAGGGGGGGGGGGGGGGGGAAAAGGAAAAAAAAAAAAAAA